CGTCAAAACGCTGCATCTCCGAGCCACCATACCTCCGCATGGCTTCTTGCCGAGAGAGACGACCGGACGACGCTTCCGAGAAGCGGGGCGGACCCGCGGCCAGGAAGCTATTGTGGCGCGACAAGGACGCAATCCGGTTCACACTAATTGCATCGTCGCTTGATACAAACTTGATAGAAAACCGCACGTACCTTCCCCAGACGCCGGTTGCCGCGTTGCGCTTGAGCTCGAGCTTGCCGTTGCTGTGGCAGAGCATCCGCATCCATTGCAAGCAGTGATCTACGCATCATTAGCTAACGCCATAGCGCCCACGCTCGTACCAAAGGTCTCGCACTTGAGCACGAGCGGGTCGGGCACGGTCGAGAGGTGGATCGAGAACGCGCAGGCCGAGTTCGACCCACTGCGCTCGGCTTCTTCGTCCAGCGTGAGCGACCGCACTTGCACAATGTGCTTGGTCTCAAACGTCGAGAGCAAGTCCGGGTCTTCGTCGTACAAGTGGACCGCCAGCGAAAAGACGAGGAGACGCGCCGACGTCATCACATAGTACTATCATCGTCCGCCTCGAAATCCGCACAATATGACGTGGCAACGTACGTTGGCGACCCACTTGGAGCCGTCGTACGCGAGGAGGTTGGCGGCAAAGCTCACGAGCGTCTCGATCTGCATGCGCAAGAGTTCTTCGTTTTCCTTTTGGAGAGCAAACGTGCTGCTGCGGCTGATGAGGACGCCACTTGTCACGTCGTGGTTGGTCACGACCGACCGCTTCACGTCCAAAAAGGCGCTGCGCCACGCCACCTACACACAGCGATGCTGCCAAGCTCGTCCCATATCGCTTTGGTTCTACCGCGGCCGCGTCCGAGGGCGGGATCAGCGTCAGCGTCGTCGCGCTGAACGCGAGCTCGATCGCGTTCTCGGGGCAGTTGCGGCTCACAAACTGCACGTCGAGGACCGAGCGCACGTCGACGACACCATAGCGAATCGCGATTTCGTCGGCGCCCAAGTCGTGCTTGTAGATCGAGAGTTCAAACCCGCGCAAGACAAAGAAACGCCGGCGATAGCGCTCGTTGACGCCGGACCGGTAGAAGAGCCAGCCCGTGTTCGACGGCCCGTCCGTCTCGTCCTACGCACGCATAGCGTCATGGTTAAGAAGCCAGTGGTACCGTGGTCGCATCAAGGAAGGCGGTCGTCTTCATGAGCGCCTGTGGGAACGTCTCGATCGTCGACGGCAGCTGCAAATTGGCACCCGAATGGTTGATCATGGCGTTCGTGCAGCAGTGGTACACGGCGAGCGCCCACTCGCGCATCTCGGCTTCGTCAAAGAATGACACCGAGATGGTCTGGAACGACGCCGAGTCCATGTCCTCGTCCGACTCGGCGAGCGCCGTCGCGGTCAACGTCGGGTCCAGAACCGGGTCGGCGTCGTGGACGCAGTGCAAGTGCATCTGGAAGTAGTCCTTCGCGCCCGCAATCTGCACAAGTGGCTTGCTCACGCTCGCGATTTCAAGCGACATGCCGAGTACCTTGGAGAGGAAGATGCCCGCAACAGTGTCGAGCGCAATGACGTTGAGGACGCGGCCGTCCGGCGCGGTCGACACGACAAGCTCGTGGTTCCGGAGGCAGAAGAACCGCTTTCGATGCACTTGGTAGAGCCGGTCAAGCTTCCACAGATACCCTTCTTTCGGCGCTGTACTGTACAGCTTGGTCTCGTCCTGGAGCAGCACGAGGCGGCTGCACGAGCACATGGCGAGCATCCACTTCTTCGCCCAGACGGCGTTCACGGCCTCGAGGTGCACGGTGATCTCCGTGGCAGTGTCCAAGGACAGCACGACGGCGAAGCGCGCGTCTCCGTCACACGACACGGACAGGACGCGCGAGAGCTCGATCGCGTCCAGCGCGTCACCCCACTCGTTGTCGAGGTCGTCTTCCACTTCGTAGTAGCTGAGCACGCCGTTGAGGATCGCGGCATAGACGCGCTGGTCCCCGAGCGTGAGCCAGCCGCGGATCTGCGCGATGCTTTCAACGGCCCACAACGACGCCTACCCGATATCAGAAGAGAGAAGCGCCGGAAGGACGCACCCGACTAGTGGTCGCGAGCGCCGCGTTCTGGACGACTTCGATGCTGAGCCGGTTCGTCACGTGCTCGGCCGACGACGTCGACGAGACGAGCTTGGGCGGCGGCAGCAGCGAGTTGAGCGGCGTTTCTTGAAAGTAGTAGTCGGACGCCCAGAGAAGGAGCATGAACCACGCCTCTTTCTGGGCTTGCGTCAGCGCTGCGAGCTAGTGCGATAGTTCTATATACGCAATGCGGACACGACTGTCGAGTACCGTGAAGACCAGGTTGGACGACGTCTTGAGCTGAATCGAAAAGTCAAAGGCGTCCATAGAGTCGCCCTTGACGACGCGCACGGTGCGGATCTCGGCCAAGTCGATGCGACCGGCACAGACGTCGGCACTCTACGCAGCAGGCGAAGGTAGGACGCTGCGATCGATTGCTATCGCCAAGCCTACCGCCGTCTCGTACTTGTGCAGGAGCAAATGGTGGTCCTTGAGTACCACAAAGCGCGGATGGTACGCGTCGGCCCCGACAGCACCGGGCTTCTTGACGTAAAACCAGCCTATTCATCCGGGTCTTTGCAACCATAGAAACGCCAACTCGATACCTTGGGCCATCGGGCCTTCGATGCGCAGCTGACCAAAGTGGCGGCAGCCGCGGCTCGACGCGACCCAGCGCACGTACTCGTCTTGAGGCTCGTACCGGGCAACGCGGGGTCCGGACGACGTCAAGAGCAAGCTCTCGGCGTTCGTTTCAAGCAACGTCACGTCGAGTTCACGCCCCGCACTGTGGCGCACTTCCCGTTCCAAGTACCGCGCCCACTTCATGAGAACATGGATGGACTCGAAGCGAAGGTTGAACGACCGACGCCAGTGCACGTTGTTGGAGGCAAGCACGACGGCAATCTCGAGCTGGTACGCGGCTTCGTCCCCGCCCAAGGCCACTTGGGACGGCGTGAGCGCGACGATTGCGTCACAGCGCAGCGTCGTGAGCAGCACCGTCCGTGACGCATCGGAATAGATCTGGAGCTTGCCGCCACTACGCAGCACGAGATGCCGCGCTTCAAACTCGTGCGTGAGCTCGCCCCACTTGAGCGCGTCACTGACGAGCAGCGTCGACGCAACCGTCGTCATGGTCGCGTCGGCGGCCTTTTCAAGCACCATGATCGGGTGCACAGGAATCGTGCTCGTGCCAAGGCGTGGTTTCTCAAACACAATCGCGTTTTTGAGCACGTCGAGCCACGTTTTGAGTTCGTCGAGCGACAGGACGTAGCACGTAAACATAAAGTGGCTGGCTTCGAGCGTCAAGCCAAACGTCTTGGGGAAGCCTTGCACGCACGTGACACTCGGCCGTTTGTCTAACGGTGGCGAGATCGATACATTGATACTTTTGGAAACAAAGTGCACCGTGGAGTGGACGGATGTCGGTCACGTCGTCGAGCGCGAGCGTCAGCACCGGGCGTTCTTGCCGACCAATGTGCAGGCCCGACTTGAAGAGGTGCAGCTTGGAGCCTTGGAGCTGCAAGAGCCGGATGCGCACGCGGTTCGTCGCTACGTTATGGGCGTCAACACTTGACGAGAAGGCGTCGTACCAGGCTCCTTGGCGAGCACCCAGCCTTGCGCGAGACGCGACACTTGCTTGATGGGCGCGGCTTCGAGGCGGGAGAAGCGGAGGGTCAGCGGTCGGGCGGCACGCTGGATCTCTTCGATCGCTTGAGCAAACGGCAAAGTCGAGAACGTGTGGTCCTGGATCGCGACGAGGATGTCGCCGAGCATGATGATGCCCGTGGCTTCGGCGAGGCCGACGCCGCCTTCCGCCGGCTCCTGGAAACCTCGTACCATGATCGTGTCTTCCATCGTGCCTAGAAGGGATGAGCTCAGCGGACAAGGAAGGTAGTACTCTGCAGCAAAAGATGCAGCGGGCCCGGGGTGTCGAACGTGACGGTGATCATCTTCTCGCGTACGCTCATGGCGCGTAGCTTGGCGTCCATCTCACGCTCCTTGTCCTCGGGCTCTTCGTCGAACGGCGTCAGCGTCGGCTGGAAGGTCGGCGCGGCCGGGAGCACCTGGGACGCCTGGCGCATGACGGCGACGGCGCTGCCCCGGCCATTGTGCGGCGGTATCACCGAGCTGCCGCGGATGACAGCCGACTCGCGCCGCTGCATGAGCTTGGGCTGGTATTCGCCGCGCAGCTACAACGTCGTGGTGTCGGATGCGACGAAGTCGACAGGCGCAAACGTACCACAAGCGTGAGGACCGTGGCCCAGCGCACCATGTCTTCGCGCGTCGCGGCGGCGACCGTGTAGATGCGGTCGGCGCACACGAGGTCGAGTGCGTGATCGGGTGCGTCGGCCATGCTCGAGGGCAGGACCGCGTTGACGCTCGTCAAGTGGATCGCGCCGAGCTCTTGCTCGTCGTTCTTGGAGCGGAAGTAGCGCAGCATCATGCCATCGAGGACGAACCATCGGCTGCGGTACGAGCTCCCGGGCAAATGCAGCCGCAGGCCGCGGATACTCGTCTGGAGCTTCTTGCCGCCGGCGCCCATGTGCTGCATCTTGCGCTTAAAGTCGGGCTTGAGGAGGAAGCCGCATGGGTTCTCGAGCCAGTCGGGGTGGATCGCGCCCGTCGTCTGCGCCTGGTGCACCTCGCGCGACAGCTTCTCGTACGCGTTCTCGTCCTCGCGCTCGGCCATCGTCGTCGTAGTGTCTGCACAGTGGCACCAGATTGCCGGTTCACACTCGAATCCGGATGGTTTCCGGATGACATCGCCACCACCCCGGTATCTTTGAGATTCAGTACAACCAACTTAATGGCAAGCCTTATAGCCGACGAGAACGAGCGCAGGCCATCGAACTCCTCGAGCCTCAAGGCGCCTTCCACGTCGGCAGTCGCCAGCTATATACAGCGCTTCAATGCATGCCAGGCGTGGCCAAGCAGCTGTTGCTGTATTCAGGCGTGGAGGCTCTGCAGCTACAGCTCCTCGAGCATGGCTCTTCGCGGCTGCGATCGCACAGTCGAGTAGGCTTCGAGCTCTTGGCACAACGAATTGAGCCACCTAATCGCGTGCGTGGGCCGGCCATGCGAGATGACGCGAATCGACGTACGTGGCGTGCTGCTGCGCAGCGACTTGCACCTTGTGCCGTCCGATGGCCCAGCTCGTAATCTGCTTGTCGTAGATCGAAGCGCACTGCCACTGCTCGTTCATTTGTCGTCGGTCCGTGGGCGCAAACGGCCGCATCGCACTGTGCGCACACTCAGCTATTGCGCAAGAGAGACGTTCTACCGTGGCGGTCGCCGGTGCAGTGGGTCGACTAAGCCGACGTAAGGGTCGTGGAGGTGCCTCGTCTCGGCCATGGGCGGCGACTGCCAGTCGTCGTGCACGGGCGAAAAGCTCGGGGACTCATCCCGTGCGAGGTCGTTGTGAAGTCGATGGAGCTCGTCCAGCAGCGACGGCGCCTCCGACTCGCACTCGCTACTCTCGCTACCAATGTCGTCGTGACACGAGCTCTGAGAATCGGCGAGCGACGAAAGAACACTCGAGACGCTGCTCCCTTCGTTGGACAGCTCGGACGACGTAGGAAGGTCGTGTATCTGGCGTCGCTGGGCAAGGATGCGGTCCTCGGTCGCTCGCAGCTGGCGCATGTTGCGGTTCAGCGATTGCACACTCTACGTTCCACATCAGTTCGATATCGTCGATTCGAGTTTGCCAAGCGCATGCGGTACCGTATCCAGCACACGCTTCATCTCGCTGACGACAGCGGCGCTTCGACCCCGAGCATGTTCGAGCCGCCACGTCTCCTTTTCGTGCTTGAGCTTCTGCGCTTGGGCCTTCAAGTCGGTCTTTTGCCGCGCCACGAGTGCGCTCGCCCGCTCCAGTAGCTGGTGCTCGTGCTCGCGCCGCGTCGAGAAGCTCTCGAGGCCACTGTCATCGGACGTTGTGTCTTGGCCATTGGCCACCGCGTTCTCGTTGCTGCCGTGCAATCGCTGCTCGAGGCGCGAGATCTGCTGCTTGAGCAAGCGGATTTCGTCTTGCTGCTGCTGGCAGCGGTGCTCCCAGTCGCGCGCCGTCTCCATCTTGGCACGTGGCGGGACCGCAGGTTGCGATCTTCTTGACACGGTGAATCTTTGGTTCATTTCGGCACATGCCGAAAATAAAAAGATCGCTTCTCTGGGAGGAGGCAGGGTCGACGACGGCGCCAATCCTTTGTTGGGCCACTCGTGTGGGCTTGGACGAGGCGCCCTGACGTGCCCGAACAAGCGCAGCGCACCATCGACCTCCGCGACACGCGGGAGCTTATTTTCGGCACTGCCACCTTCTGGCGTATTGGGTGCAATGTATGGGATTCCAGAGGTTTGCTTGCCTTCCCTGTGGCTTTCGATGGCGCCGCCCCTTGAAGTGGACTTCGCAACGTATGTATTCTCACAGTATTTCTCAATACAACTAGTAGGTTCAATGTTATATTGGAGGATTCTTGATGACAATATATCGAGTCATAGAGGTCGAGTCGTTTCTGTTCTATTTTGACGCATGGGCGGTGCAAAAAATGACGCTGCCAGTATACAAACATTAGGCTATTTTTATTAATTGGATCTAAAGCCGGCGGTACCTTGGAAGGGAGTCCCATTTTCGCCATGGTGCAGTCAACCGGAGACATCACGACCTTTAACATCCAGCACGGCTTCGTGGAGGGCTTGATCCGCGGCTACCGCAGCGGCTTCCTCGACGACGTCGACTACCACCACCTCACGCAATGCGAGACGCTCGAAGGTACATGCGCCCTCGAAAAGCGCGTCCGCTGAAGCGAAGGCTACGCGTAGATATCAAGCTCAACCTCCAAGAGACCGACTACGACCAGTTCCTCCAGGACAACAGCGGTACGGTCACGCCGTCGATCATCCAGACGGCGACGACCAAGAAGTTTGTCGACGAGTTTGTCTTCTTGCGCGCGCAGGCCATGGAGCCGCTCGGCGAGTTTCTCGATTTCATCACGTACGGCCATTGGCGCATGCGATACCTTTCATGCAGCTCACGATGGCTACTAGATACGAGTACATGATCGACAACTTGATGCTCCTTCTCAAGGGCACGATGAACGGTCGTGACGTGAACGAGCTCATTGGCCAGTTGCACCCGCTCGGCAAGTTTGACGACTCGATCATGCGCAGCATCTGCACGTTCGAGGCCAACTCGAAGGGCTACGCCGACTTGTACGAGTGCGTCCTCATCGACACGCCGATCGGTACGTCCACCACCGCAGGCGCCATGGCACTCATACATCAACACTCTCCAGGCAAGTACTTCCAGCAGTTCCTCCAAGAGAACGCCGAAGACCGCCTTGGCGAAGCCTCGGAAGTCCGCAACATCCTCGAGGAGGTCCAGATGGAGATCATCAAGAACTCGTTGCTCAAGCTCTGGCTCGAAGACTTTCACGAGTTTTGCATGGTACACACCCAGATCTTAGTGGAGACACGCTCATGCTATCCGTTAGAACCTCGGGGGCGAGACGGCCGTCATGATGGGCATCATCCTCCGCGCGCGCGCCGATCGCATTGCGATCAACATTACGCTCAACTCGTTTGGCACGCCGTTGAACGAGCCAAGCCTGCGCATCTCGGACCGCAAGCCGCTCTACCCGTCGATTGGCGAGCTCTACCCCGCGGGCACGGAAGCGCTCTCGGAGGTGTCGGACGAAGGGTCGCTCGGCATCGTGCTCGACCCGTTCCCGGTGTACCGCAAGATCTGGGAGATCCACCAGAGCGAGGGCGTCGACAACAAGTCGATCGACGACGCGTTCTACGAGCGTGACGTCATGATGTGCGAGCTTGCGTTTGGCAGCCAGATGCACTTTGCGTGCTTCTACGCGTACGTCAAGTTGAAGGAGCAGGAAGTGCGCAACCTCGTCTGGATATGCGAGTGCATCATCCAGAACCAGCGCGACGCGATCCACAACTTTATCCCGATCTTCAGCGAGAACGCGCCGTGGCGCCTCAACACCAAGGGCCCCGGCCACCACTAAGAACGAACGTCGTCACCATGGCCGAGTCGGTAGCGCATGAAGAAGCCATGAGGAACATGCTGAGTACAATTTCTCGACGTCTTCATCGCAATGGTTGGCAATACTCAGCAATACCGTATGATACAAGCAAGATAAGCTTGTCCTTGGCGTGTCAAGCAGTTGCTTACGTGGCGATCTCTACGCTCCCTGCAGACGAGAGGATGCTTGGGGTGGTCGTCGAGGCTTCGCGTGGCTTCTTGCGCCAAGGGGAGCGAACGGGTAAAGTTCGAATCGCACTTAACACGAGTCCAATCATCGCCGGCTCGTGATTTCCAGCCATGCTGCAAGCCGTCCGGAGCGCCATGGGGCGCCGGAGCATGTCGATGCAAGTCTTCAACCGAGGTACGCCATGCTGCATGGCCGCTCCGTGCTCCATGAAGGCGCGTAGCGATGAAGCGCCAGCAACGCAACAATGTGGCGCAGCTTGCCAACAGCACCGAGTACGAGTACCTCCGCGAAGAGGTCGCTCGACGCCTCGTGGACCGTCTTGAGGTAGGCTGGTCCATGAACGAGACGACGCGTCAAGCGATACATGGGCGTAGGACATTGACCGCGAATTCCCGCTTGCTCTCGACCTCGGCGCGGGCAGCGGCCACATCTACAAGTCGCTCGCGCCCGACGCCGGCCTCGGTGGCATCAAGAAGCTGCTCCAGTTTGAGTTTGCCGGTGCGCAAAATGGTTGTGATCGCAAAGCTTTATGAATGGGTTAGAGGACTTGCTGCTGCGCGACGTTCAGACGCCCGAGGAGACGGCGCGCAATGCCAAGTGTACCTCTCGGAGGCTGCACGCTTTGTCTCTGACGCTGCTTCTAGTGCCCACCGAACACATTTGCGGCGACGAAGAGTTCCTGCCGTTCCCGCGTCACCACTTCGACCTCGTCATTAGCTCGTGCAACTTGCATTGGGTCAACGACCTTCCGAGCACGTTCACGCAAGTGCTCGAGACGTTGAAGCCGGACGGTGTCTTCCTCGGCGCCGTCCTCGGGGGCGACAGCCTCTGCGAGCTTCGGTAATACGAGCGCCGATCGAGTGCGATATATCCACACGGATATTGTCCGTAGGAGCTCGTTCATTCTGGCTGACCAAGAGCGCAAGGGCGGCATCCTTCCGCACATTTCGCCGTTTGTCAACGTCGCCGACGCCGGCAACTTGCTTCAAAGCGCGGGCTTTACGCTGCCGACCGGTACAAAGCAGTAGTGACAACATGTCTGATGTACACTAGTCGACACGGACTACATCACGGTCGAGTACCCGGACGCGTTTGTCTTGATGGAGCATCTCCAGGGCATGGCCGAGAACAACGCGCCGTTCTCGTCGTCGGCGATTGCGCCGTCGCGCGACACGCTCCTCGCGGCGGCCTCCATCTACCAGACCATGTACGGCAATGAAGACGGCTCGATTCCAGTGACGTTTCAGGTACGCGGCTGAGCATCGTCGTGGCCATCATGGCGCGTCTAGGTCATCTACTTTATCGGGTGGAGCCCGCACAGCAGCCAGCAGCAGCCCAAGAAGCGCGGGTCCGCGACCAAGTCGCTGCGTGATCTGCCGACGATCCACCACTCCGACACCGAATAGCGAGCACGCAAGATCTCTCGTGAATGCATCGTGTGGCCATAAAGGGCCGATCCATGTTGATGTTTATGACAATAAGTTGAGAGAGCGATGGGCACACGCCGTGAGCGAGGTGGATGGACGGTTAGCGCGAGTTGGGCACAAACTCGTGGGCGTGGATACTGAGCTTTTGGCTGCGGCTGTAGAAGCCACGCGTGCCATCGGGGCCCTTGGCCAATAAATAAGTGGCGTTCCCCGCGCGCGCCGAGGGCGCTAGCTGCAGCGGCGTGCGCTTCGGGGTCGCGTCGCGGCGCGTCGCCGAGAGGTGACCTTGGCGCTCCACGTGCTTCGGGCGCGCTTGGCTCTTGGCGCTGCTCGGCTTCTTCATCATGGTGCTGGACCGTGCTGGGAAGATGCAAAGTGTTCATTTTAAACCGCCGCCCACCATTTAATGTCGACCGACACTCTTCTCTTCACCAATGTGTGTAATAAAATGCAGGGTTCTCGAATTTCGACAATTTCGACGCATTAAAATAATAAAAAGACGTTTATTTGCGCGTTTTATTCCCAGCGCTCGAAAAAACCGGCAGCGAATCTCGACGTGCCTATTTTTAACCAATCAGATGCCGACGAAAGATTCCCTGTCTTTGCATCAAAATAATATTCCAGCTGTCGATAGAGATCTCAAAACCACTTGTACTGTGTATATTGTTCATATCCAGGCGAATATTAATAAACCGTATCTTGAAAGGCGAAAGGACGCGAGATTCAAGAGCAACTCGGTGGCAATGAGCAGCGTGCAGCAAGCTACTTGACCACCCATATCTGTTGCTCAATACATTCTCAGCTTGAACACGCTGCGAGTTGAGAAGAGGATCTGAGATGCAACCTCGTGGCAGGCGAGGGCGACTTCTGCTGCTGCTGCTGCACAGTCGGGTGACGGCTATGAGAGGCGGCGCCGATGCAGAAACGCTACGTGGTGGTGCGTCTGAGACTCTGATGAGACCCGCGTCGCACTCTGCGTCGCCTTGAATTACTCACTGAAAGCGCCATGGCTTCATCCCGCGTTCTTCACCGTATTCTGCACGTGGAGAATCCGACCAAAGGCTTGAAATAGTGTATATTTGGAGCAACACCTTTGTGACTTGCCTTCAAGCGAGCTCAGCTCGTCGTGCTTGGATGCAGGGCAAGTGAGTGCAAGTGACACGAACACTCGGGACGTTTTGTCTCGTGCACTGGCGCCATGCGCAGCTGAAAGGATGTCATCGAGCCAGCGCGGAACCGAGCGCCGATTTCTGCAGCGGAGCATGCACTGTTCAACGTTGTGGAGGCAAGCCCAATGTCCTCCTGCAAGCACTCTCAGCTCGCACGGCGCCAGTACAAGCGTGCAAGGAGGCGAATGGCTTCCTTGCTTGCGACTACGACCTTGAAGCCGTTTCTTCCAAGTACCAACATTCCAACTCGTCAGACCAAGCGATGACACGCTATTCACCATGCTTGGACAGTGTATGTACGCGCTGCGTCATGTTGCGTTGCCAATACCGAGCTTGAATAAATATGTCGGCAGCGCTCGTACTCTGGCGGCGCTCCCAACCACGCCGCCAAAAGCCACCGAGTACTCGGCGCGGTGCTTCGATGTGCTGTGCATGTGTTTTCGAACCTCGACGCATCGCACCCACTTGGCCGCAACTGCGTCGCTTTGCTTGCACGAAAATGGGGCCAGTCCAAGCTGGAGATGACGCCAGCTCCGATCACTTTTGCTTATGGCCACATCGCCATCGTGTCCTTGTTGCAGCTATCGGTGGCGCCCTGCCCACATCGACGTCGTTTGCAGTCACACTACTTGACGTTACAATATAGTGTCGTCTTCAACGTCGCGCATCATTTGGCTGTGCGAAATGCGTCATTTCCCACAGCTTTATGTCCTAATTAGGCACTCGGAATTCGGACCATGGATATCTTGGACTTTCTATGGGCCCTCTGACGCGACGTGAGACACAGTGGCCAATCAGGACACGGTGTAACGGAATGACGGGCTGTGATTGGTGCGAAAACAGAGTGGGAGCCAGGTTGCACTTGGGTTACTCACCAAGCGGGAAAGATTGTGGCCTAGTTTCTGGGCGCCTGCCACTTTGGCAGATTACCTCGGCAGCAGCATGTTCGCAGCTGGCGACGTCCGAGCGCCGATGACGAGCCTCATTGCGCTCACGCCGACGAGCCTCGACGTGCCGGTCCGGCGCGGGAAGCAGCTCAAGGCGGCCACGCGGTCGCAGTCGGAGCCGTCCTCGGCCGAGAAGGCGTCCCCAAAGCTCGACACGCTCACGATTCCGTTCGACGACTGGTTCATCATGCCACTCTATGTCTGTCCAACGCACGCGACCAAAGATGGCCTCTCGGGTGCGTCCGTGTGAGGCCACTTACGCAATGCGCTCATCGTACGTCGTAGAGAGCTACCGCCACAAGGGCTCGTGGACCAAGCCCGAGCCGATTCGCATTGAGCAAAAGCAAATGCGCGCGGCGCCGACGTCGTCGACGATGTGGGCGGTGCCATTTACGTACATCATCACGGTCAACAACGTGTCGCACCAGTTCAAGTGCGCGTGGAACGAGTACCGCGCGTACCAGAAGGCGCTGCTGGCCGACGAGAAGCTCGGGCCGCTCTACGTCGACGCCGTGCACTCGAAATACGTCGAAGAGTCGTTCAAAGGGTACGCGTTCGGCGGTTCCACATTCGCATTCTCATTTGCATCAACGCTAGCTCCATGCGGCGCGCAATTGCATCCCTCGAGCGCATGTCGGAAGAGGTCATGGGCTGCCTCCACGCCATTTCGCAACTTCCAGAGATCGCGACCGAGCGCGCGTACCAGGATCTGGTCGGGTGCCAGACCAACACCCTCCTCCACGAAGAGCTTGTCGCCGTCCTCGCCAAGGACCGCGAGACGACGACGTCGCCCAAGAAGTCCAAGACAAGGACAAAGACGGAGACCGACTCGTTCGATGACAACGACGGCGTCATGTCGGACGCGACCGACACGTTCGACGAGCTCCAAGAGTGCTTGTGCGACGTGTACGTCGAGGCTATTGCGCTCTTTGGTGAGCACGTGCACTGCCGGCCGCGCCAGATCGCGACGCGGTCGAGCGACGACGACGACCACGACGCCAAGGTCGAGGAAGTCTTGTGCATGGACATGCTCCGTACTCAGTGCATGCTCGCCTTGTATACGGACTGTCTCTTCACGCTCGATAAGGAGCAGCTCACGTCCAGCACCAACTATGCGCTCTGCACGATCCTCGGGTTTGGCTGCCGCCCGCTCTTCACTGTGAAGCGCGCGACCAAGACCAAGTGGGTCTTGGCCGACGCGTCCAACCGCGGGCTCATGACCATGGCGCTCAAGCGATATGGCGCCAACCAGCCGATGATCGTCGTCTCGCGCGTCGTGCCGTCCGGCGCCGAAGAAGTCGTCGGCATGTTCCGCAAGTCGTGGCGAAGGGGCTACCAGTTCATCCTCATGTCGGAGCTCGTGACCCAAGGCAAGCTCACGACGTCGTTTGTGTTCTCCAACACGGTCATCCACGGCCAGCACCGGTACCTTGTCGGATCCGTCGTCAGCGGCAGCGACCACGGCGACCTTCTCGTGACCGCGACGCTGTCCGTCTCGGACGCCGCCTTCCACAAGCAGCGCCTCCACGTCACGGACGGCAGTGACGTGCTTTTGCAGATCGCGCTCTCGTGCTCGTACGATTTTCTGGCGAGCGCCCGACCCTTTTACCGCATGGACTATCATTATTAAGACGCCGAAAGCCGTGGATTTGTGTACATAGTCGTCGCGTCATAGGACAGACAATGACCAAGAGCGCGAGATTGCACTTAGAGCTGCTCGAGCTTGTACAGGTCCGAGCGCGTCTGCAGCGCCGTTGGGATGTTGCGGCGCATCTCGTCGGCCTGCTCAATGTCAATGTCGGCGTACACAATGGCTTCGCCGTGCTCGGTCGTCGCGACGACGTCGCCCCACGGCGACACGACGGTCGAGTGGCCCCACGCCTGGTAGCCACCTTCGGGCCCGCGCGCCGGCGACGTGGCCGCCACGTACAGCTGGTTGTCCACCTAGTTCAGCGCATAAGCCAACAGCATTACGAGCGCAGTGTCGTACGGCGCGCGCCCGCTGGAGAAGCTCCCAGTGCGCGGGTCCCGTCGTGAGGTTGAACGCGCCGGGAAACATGAGGAACTTGGCGCCAGCGGTCTTCATGAGCATGCTGAGCTCGGGGAAGCGAATGTCGTAGCAGATGCCGACGCCGATCTTGCACCACGGCGTGTCAAAGACCGTCACTTGGCTGCCGGCCGAGAGCGTGTCCGACTCTTTGAACGTGATCTTGCCGGGGACGTCAATGTCAAAGAGGTGCACCTTGCGGTGCTTGGTGAGGAGCGCGCCGTCGGGACCCGCGACCACGCACGTGTTGTACACCTTGCCGTTCTCGCGCTCGGGAATCGAGCCGCCCACGAGATAGATGCCCAGGCGCTTCGCCAGCGTAAGCACCATGTGCGTCGACGGGTGGTCGGCCTCGGTCACGAGCGCCGTCGTCGGGATCTCCTCGGCGTACTGCGGAAAGGACGACGTCGCGTACGGCGAGTTCCAGCACTCGGGCAGCGAGATGACCTGCGCGCCGTTGCGCGCCGCCTCCTCGACGGCCGCCGTCGCACGCGCAATGTTGATCGCCTTCTTGTCGCCGACCGCGAGCTGGCACAGCGCCACCTTGAAGCGTCGGGCCATTTTGCTGTTTCGAAAATGCTCAAAGTCGGCGATCGAAGTTGCGCCGCATACAAAGCGCAAGATCTTTCGTGGCACATTGCGCAACCACCACAAGATTCCGTCAAGTCTCTGGGGACGAGCGCCTTGTCTGCATCGTCGTCCAGAGCCGTCTGCAGCGCGCTCCACTCGCCGCTCATCAGCATTCTGCAGGGCCCACTCGAATCATGACGAGTCGATCGTGACCCGAGTGGGTCGAGTCAAGCTGCTTACATCCTAACCGCCTCAAGCTCCTAGCTGCTTGGCTTGGCCGCATAGAGGCTCCGTCAATGCAGCTCTCAATCAACAAAGTCGAGACGCTCCATGTTCAGCCAGGCGAACCGGTGACGGCGTCGGGCGAACTGACCGATCTCTGAGCGTAGTCACAGTGTGAGCAGCTTGCACATGCGTTTGGCCATCCGCAATGGCCGACGCGCTTGTCGGTCGCCCACGATACAGGGCCTTGACCTTTGTCTCGCGCTCCCCAACGCCTTGGACTTGCGCGATATGTACACTCTAATGGACCGCTGCCTTCAATATTAATCTACGTCGTCGTACTTAGAACGTGGCGCTGACTCGCTGCACGGAGAAGCCGGGACCGCGCTTGAGCTTGAGGAGCGCGGTTTTCGAGCACGTTTTGACAAAGCTAATGGTTTTCTTGACGCCCATCATGGCCGTGTCGCGGCCGTTGATCTCGAGAAGGACGTCGCCGACGCTCACGTGCCGGAGCGACTCGCAGCACGGCTCTCGGCAGACGAGGACGACCATCGGGTACACGCCTTTACTGAGCCGGCACTCGCGCAGTTGCAGGCCAATGCTGCGATTTTCTTTCCACTTCAACAGGTACAGCGAGCTGTCAGGCGTGTCCATCTTGCTCACGCGCTGGCTCTTGAGCTTCCCGCGCACGTTGAGCTTCATGTTGACCGAGTTGGGTTCGAGGAGCGGGATCGTCTGTTCGTCGTTCTCTGTGATCTTGGCCAGCTTGGCGGCGCCATTGGCGCTGCTGCGCTTGTTCTTGCCGCGGCCGCGTGCTTTCCCCGACCGCTCCCCGCCACCGCCGCGGGACGGCAACGGCTTTGGCACAGTTGAGACGCGCGGGCCATCGTCGGTCGCGACCTCGGACGACCGCTCCTTCCGCACCGGGTAGTCGAGATTCGGCATTGGCTCGTTCTCGATCGGTCCCTCTTCTTCCTCTTCTTCGAGGTCCAAGTCCATGTCTGAGTCGACCTCGGACGCACTGTCGTCGTCACGACTCGTGGACGCGAACAACGCGTCATGCTGGGCCACGACAACGACCGGCGGCGGGTCGGCCACCGCAGGCGGCAAGTCGTCGTCCAAGTACTCGGACCCAAATTCCTTGCGGTCACCTTCGTCGTCCGAGTCGCTGTCTTCAAAGACAGGCTTCTTGGGTTTGGCATCGGGCGCTCTCTGCGTCGGCGACAGTGTAGGCGGTGGCGACGTGACGGGCGTCGGTGGCGACGTGACGGGCGCCGGTGGCGACATCGATCGCGCGACTGCCATCGGTGGCGACAATGAGGCCTTTGTCTGCGGTGACGGCGTGCGTGTCGGCGTGGTCTGTGGCGACGGCTCGCTCGACTGTGGCGACGGCGCTTTAGGTGGCGCGACCGCCTTGACTTTGGCAGCGACCCTCACCGGTGACGGTGCCGGTGCCTTGGGCGACGTCACTACGGTTGGCGAGTTTGTTGTGTCTCGGGGCGGTGTCGTCACGATGGGCTTGGGCGCTGCCTTCTCGCGTCCTGGCGGTGTCGGTGTTGTCGTCGATAAACTTGGCGACACGGTCGTCGCCTTGGGCTTGGACCCGAACGACATAATCTTCAACTTGGTCGACTCTCGCACCGACTCTCGGACTTGATCCGGCGGCGGGCTGGGCACGCGGTTGATCGAGTCGTGGGGCGGGCTCGACGGCGGCGCGCCCTTCGGTGTCGATGGGCTCGGCGGGCGCGCCGTCTGGAACACGAGGTGGATCGGCTTGGGCCAGTGCTGAAGCTGTGTGAAAAAGTCGGCAAACGACACGTCGTAGGACGAGAGGCCGTTGGCCGAGACGAGGATGTCGTTGGGCGCGACGTTGGCGAGCAGCTCGGGGCTCGCATGCGGCAAAGTGCGAGTGATCACGGGCATATTGAGGCTCTCTTCCTCGCCAAAGTACAGGCCGAGCGCGCCGTCGACCCACTCAAACTCGTATCGATACTTGCGGTACGGGTCCATCGCGAGGAGGTCGCGCGGCGAGATGGGCTTGGGCTCCTCGGGGCTCTCGATCCGTACTGTCGGGGTGTCGAGCTTGCGCGACGAGCGCGACGGCGCGCGGTTGCGGAAGAGACTGTCGCTGCTCAAGCTTAGCTTCAAGCCCGGCTTTTCACCATTGGCCTTGGTCTCGCTCTTGAACGACTTGGACCGTGGCAAGGGCGGCTCGGGCTGTGTCTCGTCGCGTGACCGCGCCCGGCGAAAGCGGAGCAATACGGGCTTTTGCTTGGTTGTCAGGAGCTGGAGAAAGTTGTGGAACGTATTGTCTTCGGCGCGGAGCTCGTTGACGCAGAGGAGGTAGTCGCCGACCTCCATGGCGGCCGCGAGTGGGCTCGACGGATCAATGATCGTCCAGACGATCGGCAGCTCCGACTCCTTGTCCTCCATGATGTTGACGCCGAGCCGGCCTGTCTCCCACTGCACAAAGTACTCGTCGTCCTTGAGCGCCGGCAGCTGGAAGGCCGCGATCATCTGCTCTGCCCACGGGTTGAGCTTCCGGGCCTTGGCCATGCTGCTGCTGTCGTCGTCGCAAAGGAATAAAATGAGCCCCCACTCTGCACATCATACAAACTCCAAGTCGTCCAACTGCGTTACACGCAGCGTTCTTTTTGGCTTTAAACGCGTTCAAGTCCCTTTACCCGCGGTTAAACGACTAAAACGCAATGCGTTTTTTAGCACCCACCTTCGATCCGTCAGGGATCAACGCAGCCGGCGCCGCTCCGACAACCGACGCGCCGCCGTGGCCATGACCACCGCCGGCCTGCAGCTTGTCGAGCTCGGCACAGGTGCATGGGCGTAGCTGCCGCGTGGCCGTTGCACTTTTGAAACGGTGCCATGCGACCAGCTTACGCCATCGTCTTCCTCGCGCTGGTCGCCGATGGCCGCCAGCCGCCCGCCGCCGACGTCTACGCGTGGGATCCAATGCGCAGCGTGCACGTGCCTGTCGTTGCCTTCAGCCAAGCGGCGTACGAGGTGCGGCTGCGCAATGCGTCATGCCAACTTCCTACAGCTCGACTAGGTGGCGATGGCCAACGACCCGCGCCACGCCAAGTACGTGCAGCGACACACGAGTGCGGCCGAGGCCGCCAAGAAGCCACAGATCAAGGTGCTCGAGCGCAAGCACAAGTACCCGACGCTTGCTGTCGTCATCTCGATGACAGTGCTCCTCACCAGTATGTACATCATCATGCAGTTCTTTAGTTAGTCACCCTAATACACGACGACGGTGCGATCGAGCGCTTTGGCTGCGAGGAGGCACCTGCGTGTTGGCGTCGCGACCCACGCCGCGATCGAGATCGCGTGCGACGAGTGCTCGCCAAGGCGACTTGCTTCAATGACCAGCGGGACATGGCTGCTGCAGCTGCCGTCGCCATGCGCCACAAGCGGCGCGTCAAACACCGTGGTCACGCCGTCTGATGAGAGCGTCACTTCAAGCTGCAGCGTCCAGCCGCAGCTCGTATCGCGCAGAGGACTCGCCGGTGACACCGCCGCGTCGAGCTGCAACGACACGTGGATCGTGGCGGCCAAGTCGACGGCCGTCGTGACACCCAGCACCGTGCGCGAGATCTGCTTGACGCTTGGGCCCGGCGCGAGCGCCATGTCCAACGACAGCGCCGGCGCGTCACTGCGCAGGAGCGGCCGCGGTACCGCAGCCGGTAGCGAGCACACGGCTTGGAGCATCGAGACGAGCGACTCCATGCATGGCGCGTCTTCGGTTCTCGCAAGATGGGCAGCGTAGTCGGCCACAAACTGCCAGGACGGATGCCGGGGGAGCACCGTCGGCGTCGCGACCGTCGCCGTTCGACCGTGGATCGTCTTGTCGATAGCGACGGCCACGAATTCACAGAGGCTCACGTGACTGGCGAGGGCGTCGAGGTCGGTGGTCGACCAGGCGGCGTGACTGAGCACAGCAAACGTGCGGGCGTGGCGCTGCAGCTGGTGCTGGAGGTCGGTCCACTTGGTTGTCGAAAACACTTGACCCGACGCAATGATGCTCTCGAATGCATACTACGTCGCCTTAGCTCAAATGCGATACATCAACAAGATCAACACGGACCTGCAGCGCCGACTGGAGCGTCGAGAGAAGCCCGAGACGCGCCGAGACAAAGCCGCTCAGCGTCTCAAACGACGTATCGCTACACGTCGCGAGCTGCAGCGTAGCGAGGGCCTCGTGCAGCAAGTCAAACGTGCGCAGCGGCACGGCCGACGTCGTGGCACACACGAGCGCCTCGCCATCGACCCACAAGGCGACGGCGCTTGTCCAGTGGTGCGTCGTCGACGACAAGGTGCCCGCCACGACGCTCGGCAGCAGTTGCGCGGCCGTCGCAAAGGCGCCGTGCAGAATACACTCACGCGCAAGCTGCCAGCTCATGTACGCCGATCGGTGGGCTGCGTGCGCGCGCAAGACGAGCGCTGACGCATCGCCTCCGCTGCGCAAGAGGCACACGAGGATCGCGAGCGACTGCCGCGTCGACGATGACGAAGCGAGCGCGGATGCCGCCGCCTCTGTCGGCACAGCCATATACCACGTGAGATGCGACATGGCCACCCAGAGCGCGTCGGCGTGCGGACTTGAACCCGCGAGGAGCCGCAGCAACACGGGCCCAAGTGTCGGCACTGTCGCGTCTGGCATCTCGCGGACCAGCGCCTCGAGAAGCCGCAGCGCTTTGCGGACGATCGTGGTCGTCGCGGGCGACACGGGGTACGTGGTTGTCACGGCAAGGACGCGGAGGAGTTCGAGAAGCGCGCCAGGAACGCTGCGCCGACTCGCATGGTATGTCATGTGGAGAAAGAGGCTGGTGAGCTTCGGGTCGGGCTCCGCCGATAGCCATCGCAGCGACGCGAGCGGGACGTCGATCGAGCGTGCCGCCACCTCGAGCTGCGAGACGATGCTGAGCAACAAGGCAGCGTCCATGGATGCGTCGGCAGCAGCGTCAAGCAGCATAGAAACAACGCTCTTTGGTACAGGGCGACCGGCAGTCAGCATCTTGGCGATGCCCGCCACCGCGATCCGCCGAAGCGACGCCGAGGACGCGGTGAAGAGCGTCTGGATTACGCAAAGCTACACCACCAAGACATAAGAGTATGGACACCATGCGTCGTCGCACCATTCGGTCGCTAGCATCGGGCAGCAGCTGCAGCGAGAGCGCCGCCATGGTGAGCACGAGCGGTCGCAATGACGGCGAGTGGATGTACGAGAGATCGCCAGTCGGGCCACGCACCGTCGCATCCTACAGCACCAACGTACATGAGAAGGGCGAGGACGTTGATTGGTGGCGTACGTTGCACAGCGCCTCGCACTTGGCCAGGGCCTAGACACACGGTGAGTGCCAAATGGTGATGGGAGGTGGTGTACGAGAGCAGCTTCGGCCGCGTTGGTGGTCGCCAACGGCAAGAGCGGCGCGAGCGCAACAAACTCGTTCGTTGGCGTCGACTCGGTAAGCAAACGCGTGAGCAGCGTGCGCTGAAAGACCGGCGAGTGGGCCAGCAGTGCGCGCGCCGTGTCGTGTGCAGCATCGGCTTCATCGCTCGTACTCGCGACGCAGCGAGCGACGATGCTACAAGACAGCGTCGGGGACCGAGACTCGAGACATGGGGTTTGCGTACGCTTGGTGCAGAGAGACGTCGTCTCGAACCAATGTGGCGAGGAGCGCGAGCAGCTGCAACGCCACGATACGTGTTTGTACGTCGTCGGTCGTCTGCAACACTTGGTAGATAGGCCCGACAATCTATCGCGCGGCGATGGAGCCTCGCCCATGGACAAGCTCGCGTCTTACCTTGGTCGTGTCGGAAACGTCCGTGTGCTTGAACTGGCCTTCGATGCGCCGGACCATCTCCAAGATCGCGAGGCGAAAGCCCAGCTCGTTGCTACGCGCACTGGCATGAGCAGGAAACAAAGATGCGTCTGTATGTACATGGCCTGGAACTGCTCAGCGAGTCGAGCGAGCACGAGCTCGAGCTGTTGCTGCGTGAGAAACGGCGCGTGGCTGTAGAAGAGCAGCGTCTCGGCCTTGTTGGCGTGCGTCGTGCCCTTGAGCTTGAGCTGCTGCTCGAGCGCCTGGAGCAGCTTCGCGTGGTCCTTCTCCAGCACGCGGCTCTGGCGCCCACCGAGGCTCATGTCCTTCCCGTAGGCGTAGACGAGCGGGAAGGCCGACGACGCGACGCAGGCCCAAGCCGGTTCCGACGCCATCTTGTCGCTTGGTCACGAAAATGGGCCGCAACGCTCGTTTGCTCGATACGGATACCATCCCGTATCCGGTCTGGCCAACCCGATTGCCTTATAAAGTACACTGCAACCCGCTGGCAACCCTAATCGCCCCAACTATAGCGATCTTCCCGTGCGATCACCACACATCCGCATGGATGCTTGGCCGACGATGCCCACGTCCCAGGGACCCAGCGGGGGCCAAACATGACGCACGGTTGCATATAAAATCACTTGGGCAACATAAGCTGGTCGCGCTTCTCACTCAGATTTCCGATTTCCGATTTTGTGGCGTCGTTGTGCCACGACGTCGACAAGCCACGGAGAAGTAATGTGGGACGCTCCAGGGTGTCGGGACACGACCTTCTCTGCTGACGAGTCGTCCATCACTCGCTACCTTGCGACTCGCCTCCTTCGGACAAGCACGTCGGCCCTCGGTCGTGCTTGCTGTCGCACGCAAGGTACTCGCCGTGCCAACCGTGCCCGTCGTTGCCGAGATTCGTCGCGCTTGTTTCGTGATCATGCGCTACCGTATTCCACGGAGCTCGTTCTATCGCTTTGCATGGCCTTTGCGACAGCGGAAAGACGTGAATGTTGCAGCTGTTAAAAGCGGTACAGATTGTCTATTAGCAAATCGACTAGGGAGGCTTGGCCGACGTGCCGAGCTTGCACTGTGGGCAGTCGTGGGCTGGCGACAGAAACGTGGGTGGGCAAAAGCGAGTTCCGGGACTTGGCCACGCCGCTGACATCGCATGTGATTGGCTGCCTTTATCTGATTCGAGCGAATCAAACGCTGCGAATGAGAAAGTGCAATCCAATCCTCCTCCATGTCAATTGCGAATACCATGGCCGCCCAGCAGACCATCACGCACGTGTGGCAGCAGCCCGCGGTGGTGCTCGAGGTGACGCGCTGCATGACGTCGCCCGACGACGTCCTCAACTTCCTCCGCGCACTGCCCCACTCGGCCTTGGACGACGTCCTCTACGCGCTCCTGCGCCTCTTTGACGTCGTGCGCCACGACGCTGTGTGGCCCGAGCTCGACCTCGCCGCCGTGCCCGCGGTCGCACGCGGCGTGCTGCAGCGAGCGCTGCCGGCGATTCCTGCGATTCGCGTGAGCAAGTACGTTGACAGCTGCGGGCTCGTGCTGCCGCCGACATTGTCGGTGGTCGTCGACCACGCCAGCCGCACATTGGATGCGCACGCAAGCCCACGCCCGCGCACCGTGATCATGCTCCCGAGTGCGTTCTACGACTGCCCGACCAAGGTCGTCGACGTCACGCTCGACCTCTTGCCCGAGAACAACGAAGCCATGTGCCGAGCGCTCACGTTCTGCACCAACGTCCGCAAGGCCAAGGTGACGTGGGACGAGGTCGACCAGCCTGCGATCGACGACTTTCTCGGGATGATGATCACGTCGTGGCACCGCGTGCAGCACGTGCACTTTCGCTCGACGCAGTACGAAGCGCCGCTGCTCGATGACATCCGCGGCTTCTACACGTGGCTCAGCGCGTCCGAGGTCACGTCCGTGGTCTTTGAGGGCATCGACTTCTCGCCGCGCGGCGCCGTCTTCCTCGCCTACGCGCTTTTGCAGTCGCCGACCGTCACGAGCTTGGACCTCCGTGACGTGCCAAACCTCACGCGTGCCTTGGTGGCCGCGAACCTCCCGTCGCTGCCTGCGATGCCGCCGCTGCCGCCGCACCTGACGACACTTCGCCTCCGGCTTCCGCACTGGGACGCCGACCTCGTGGAGGCGTGGGCCAAAAAGCTGGAGAAGGCGAATCTCAGAGTCCTCGAGATGGACGCGTCGACATTAACTGGCGCGACCAGTCTTCTGGCCGCGGCTGCCACAATGCCCCGCCTCACCGACCTCCTGATCGCGGGCGACCATTTGCGGGACCTTCCAATACTCTCGCAATTGCAACACCTCGACTTGAGTCGGTGCTCGTTTTCGAGCCCAGCGTTCCTTGCGCTGACGCAGCTTCTATCGACGACAACGCGTCTCGAGACGCTGAGCCTGCGACGCGCGACGCTGAGTACGTGGCAGCTCTCGGCGCTTGCCGACGTCCTCCCCACGTGGCTGCGGCAATGCGGCTCGTTTCTCGACCTCTCGCATCTCGAGTTGGGTCAGCTGGACCGGCTGCGATCGTGTTTCTACATGCTCTCTGGGATGAAGAGCCCGTTGCGGCCAACGCTGCTGGCGCTTGGCCACATTCGCGCGATGGTCGTCGCGTCGGCGCTGGCGCAGCTGCAGCCGTCGCATGCTGCAGCGATCGATCTGAGCCACAACAAGCTGCCCGAGGTCACGTTGCGCGCGTGCATTTCGGCGCTGGCAACCTGCGAGCACGTGACGCTCGACCTGCGCGCCAACGAAGCGCGCTGGGACGACGTCAAGGCCAAGGCCAAGCTTCTTAGCGTCCGCGCAGTCGCCAACGGTGTGTTTGCGTCGCCCGAGACGACGCATGCGTACTTTACGTCGCCGCGCCGCCCGAGCTGGTACACGTAGACACGACACAGTATATAAGTTGGAGAATATTGTCATATGTACACGAGGGGCGTGGACTTGGTGGAGAGACCCACAGTTGGATCGGTGCGAAGACCAACGCACGATCCCGCTTTGCAGCAATAACGTCATATATACTACTGTGCTACTAACGTCGTACTTCTGCGCCATGCCAACGACTAGTCAAGATAGATCCATCCATCGCGTCTCGGGCCCTAGAGCAGCGAGCTCCATGCGGGTGACGGGTCGTCGGCCACGTCGCTTTGTCGCCGCTGCTACGCTCGCGCACGGTCTTGACGCTCTCGAATGCGTTGCTCTTGTTCTTGCTGCTGTTGCTCTTGCCGCTGGACAGGAGCCGCCTTCGTGGGAGTGCAGTAGACAAGTGGGATTTGGACACCAAGGCGCGTCACAATGATTGCGAGGCGGCCGTCGCAGTCGGAGCTGTGGCTCAGCGACGCATCGTGAATGACGCGATCGAGAAACTGGCGATCGTCCAGCGTCAGCCGTCGCGGACACGAGTTGATGTCGCGCTGCCGTAGATATACCGCCGTACCGCGCTGCAAGATGTTGCCACCTTCTCCGATTCGCGTCGCTATGGCAGAGAGGCGTGCGCCGTACGTGGAGCCAGGACCGAGCGAGTTGGCGTGAATGACGGTGTTGAGCAACTGGCGGTCGGAATACGTGTCTGGTGCGCGTTGTCGTCGCGCTGGCGGAGGCACGCGGCCAGACCGCGCTCCTGTGCGTCGGTTCTCCAAGCGAGCGACATGTCGAAACACGAAATTTGTTTTCCGATTCCAACGGCTCGATCCCGTCGACTTGTTTAGGATGGATCGAGTCGATTTGAGCCAATCCGGTGCTCGCAATTCATCATCGTCCTGTCATGGTTCTACAGAGAATACCGCGCTGTGATTGAGCTACCCGATGAACTAGAGCGTTTTGTGTGCGGTGCCGACTTGTCTGGCGTAGCTCATGGAATGTGGTCGAGTCATCTGGCTTGGCAGCAGCTGTTTTGTGGGACCTACAATCCTGCAACACGTCTGGTGTGGCGAGTTGTCGGATTCAATAATATATATATGAACGTGTTTCGCTAATAATACTTTATTATTGACCCATGTCGGGTTGTTGACGACCAAACTTAATTTCAACTTCAATTTCCATCACTTGATGCGCGTTAGCCAGCAGCCCGTGATCGCGTTCGAGGTGACGCGCTGCCTTGCGTCGGCTAACGACGTGCGCCATTTCTTGCTCGCCCTCTCCACATCGGCCTTGGACGACACGCACGTCGCCCTCCTCCGGCTTTTGGAGATGGTCGCGCCATCGCTCGTCTGGCCCCAAGTCCATTTCTGCGCCATCGCTCGTCTGGCCCCAAGTCCATTTCTGTGCCCTGCCTTCTTCTGCCCGCGGTCTTCTTCACATGGCGCTGCCCGTCATCCCGATCATCCGTATCCCCCAATACAAGTACTGGACGCAGCGTCTCGCGTTGCCACGGACCATGGTGGTGGCCGTCGACGACACATCCCATGGCTCGCATCTGGAGGAAGGCGTCCTGCGTAGCCCAAGCCACCTCTTCAACTCGCTCTTCGAGTACACCACCAAGATCATTGACGTGACGCTCGCCATTCCCCTTGGAGAAACCGACGCTTTGTGTACTGCGCTCCGTGCATGTCCCAACGTCTCGCGCGCCAACTTTATGTGGGAACAAGTCGACCAAGCCGCGCTTGACGCGTTGATGACCATGATGACATCATCGTGGCCCCATCTGGAGACCCTGCAGCTCGGCTCCGCACGCCGCTCAATGCGCTCGTTGATTGGTGACGCCGACAGCGTCTGCCGGTGGCTCGTCGTCGCACGCGTGTCGTCGATCACGATTTAAGCGATCGAGTTTCTCAGGGATACGGCGTCTGTCATTGTGACTGCGCTGCTGACGTCACCGACACTTGTCTCGCTGCGGCTCCTAAATGCAGTGTCGCTCACCATTCTCTTGGCGCACGACCCTGCGATGCCCAGCAACTGACGACGGTGCAGATTCGCCTTCCTCGCTGGCCGATTGGCTTTGTCGACAGGTGGGCGGTCAAGCTCCAAGGCGCACGCGCGCTTCGGGAGCTCGTGATCGAAGGCGAGATACCGAGTACGCTGCGCGCGCTGGCGACCGTGGGCAATTTGACATGCCTACACGACGTGACAATACGCAGCGCCGTCGATGACTTGCCATCGTCCCTGGATCGACTGTGCCAACTCCTTGTTAACTGCGAGTTGAGACCGACTGCCTTGACGTCACTCGGGACGATCTTGCAATCAACCAACTCGCTTCAGACGCTTGCCTTACGTAACACGAACCTGACGATGTGTCAGCTCGATGCGCTGTGCAGCGTTCTGCCCCAGTGGCTCGGTCACTGCGGGACCGAGTTGGACCTCTCGGCCAACGATATTGGCGAAGTCGCCAACCGGCGTGTGTCGTACCAATATGCCTAATCTAGATCCAAGAGTCCGTTGCGGTGGAAGCTACTGGCGCGAGGGCTTGTCCGTGTGCTGCTGCTGGCGTCGACGATCACACAACTGCAATGTACGCACGCGGCGACAATACATCTGCGCGGTAATCGCCTCTCGAAGCTCGCTCGACGCGCCTGTATGGCGTTGGCGTTGAGTGAGTACGTGACGCTCGACCTGCAAGACAATGAAGGCGACGAGGCCCGTGGAGATGACGACAATCACGATCACATTGGTGCATTTGCCACATCGCTGGGTCTGCAGTCGCTGGCGCCAAATGTCTTTACGCCCTGACGACTACGCTGAATGATCCCCACCGCATCCTTGATGGTACCCACGCAGTGATTATCGACTGGCTGGGATAGATCGATACGATGAAATAGTAGGCAAGTGAGGTGTGATTGATTCTGCGACTTTTTGCCAGCTTAGAGCGGCGTATCGTTGTTGGCGACAGCTGACGCTACAATAGTTGCTACAATTGCACTAGTACCAAAAGATGAATTCGACGTCGCGTGGCCGGTGGTTGCGACACCCGAGTACAACGAACTAGAAATATTTTGCTGCTGGACTGCATCATGATTTGTCCACATAAAAGGCGTTTGCTCGCAATAGCGGATTGTGTATTTTGCTGTTTCGTTAAGGTTCCCCATCGTCGTCTGGACCGTGTCACTGCGCGGTGCTGCGAGTCTGCTGTTCGAGGCTTGGGAAGTGCCACCAGAACACGAAAACGCCCACATCCATGGCCATTGCACGTGCAGCGTACGACGGGGCCAAAAGCCTGTAGACAATCCTGCCGACGAGTACGCCGCCAAAAAAGAGGTCGCCCCTGCCGACGAGGTAGCAGTTGCTCGTGTCGACGAGTACGCAGCCCATTAAGCGGTTGTCGCTGAAGACACGGTATACGAGCCCGCAAAGAAGAGCGACGAGTGCAGCCCGTTTCTGCTGTCTCTCTGTCTGAATTCGTTGCCTCTCAAGCTCGCGCTGACGCTCAAGCTCGAGTTGGCGCTCAGGCCCGAGTTGACGCTCAAGCTCGAGTTGACGCTCAAGCTCGAGGTGACGCTCAAGCTCGAGGTGACGCTCAAGCTCGAGTTGACGTTGCATCTCGAGTAGACGCAAAATCTCGCGTCGAAGCTCAAGCTTGGTCGGACGCTCACGTTTGTTCCGACGCTCAAGCTCGAGTTGCCGCTCAAGCTTAAGTCGAAGCCCAAGCTCGCTTTGAAGCTCAAGCTTGTGTTTACGCACAAGCTGGCGTCGGCGTTCGAGCTCCTTCTTGTTCTCTGCTTCAACCATACGGAATGCGGCCAGAGCGAGAGCTTCTTTTAAACGGGCATCAGATGCTGCCTTGGGGCCCGTACACGATTCGGAGCGTCGAGGACGAGCACCACGATTGACGTAGTCGGACGCGACACCGTAGTGCGTCGCCATTGACCTCAGTCGCACATCCTCGTCCGGGTTGAACTTGTCCGACTCGCCGTGAATGACTTGGTTGAGAAACTGTCGGTCGCCTTTGTCCAAGAGCGGTTGGCCGCGTGTCTTTTTGGCGTTGTCGTCGAGCTGGCGCATGTAAGCCGCGACGCCGCGCTGCTCGTAGCCAGACTGCGCCTCCATGCCGTCGTTGGGGTCCATCCCAAAACAGCAATATTGATGCACCGACACATTGGTTCATATTCCGAAATGGATGACACAGTTTCGGCACAAACGAAAACCATCCACAAAGCTCTGAGCCTGTTTTATCCGCAGCTGACAAGCTCGGGAGCGACGGTCGGGCCTCTGGCAAGAGACCTGTCGCCCAAGATCGTACCGTGCCGGCGCAAACCTCACGTTTGATTAGCCAAGCAAATCTGGCTCACATCATCACAAGCGCACTTGAGGAAAGTCCATGCATTTAGGCTTCGTTCGGTTCGCGGCAATTATTTTTTAATCGATTATCGAAATCGCCATTATTGATAATTGCGTATATGAGAATTGGGTTTGCAGGTCCATTATCGACCAAATCTCGTTCGGTTCGCCAAG